AAAATACTTTCCTCCCATGATTCTGGACAAGTCTTCATAAACATTAATTAATTCTCACTATCCTTATGACGCCCACTTCACAGTACAAACTATTAGACTGGGCTGGGAGGCGCGTCGGACGCTATGGATGCTATAATTACATAACAGTCCTCCCTTTACCACGGCTCCTCCATTGAGCTCACGTACACACCAGTGGATGCTCACCCTGCAGATCAAACAGCCCAGTCTGCACGTACTAAGATGACAGCTTACCATTTGTTCCTGACTGCAGCAGGCACATAGAACATCTGTAAATAAGAGGCCAATCTCTCTCCCTCCAGATGATCGTTTAAAAAGCAAATGTCTGTTAACCTTTTATAATAGATCAAAGCTAATAAATTCAAGATCTAGGAACTAGGTCTTCATGTAATTCATATTAAACCATCTTATTTAACACAAATACTTTGTCATGTGTATGGACTTCTACCTTGAGAAAGACCTCGGATACAACAAAGTGGAATTTATTAAGAAGTAGGCATGCCATTGGGGCCCCAAGCATGGACTTATCTTGAGGCCAAATGAAGCAAGCCTTACCTCCTTTAGTTCAGAAGAATTAGTCTCCTCTTTTGACCTCAGACAAATTAAAGCATGTCCAAAACCGGTTTTCTCTCCTCAGTGCTGACAAGCTTCCCTCTCCTTTTGTCAGTTTTTGTACATTGCTCAGGCAAAGGCTACAGCAGATGAGATTCAATTTGCACTAATTTCTTGTTTAGCTGTTTAGTGGTTAATGTGTGTTTTTATAGAAAGAATCAGAGGGCATGTACTTTGTGTTCTGCTCTTTTCACTTAACATAGCTTGATAAACACAATTCCAGGTGTTGATGCCGTTTTCACTCTGGCCATTTTTAATAGCATGGTGAAATTGTTTTCAATCGTTTGCTATGATATCAATTTCTTTCGAAAAAAAAATGTTTTACTCTTCAGATGTCAAAACACATGAGCAATTTTATAGTTCTCATTTCAAGTTGCCTACATTCCAGAAAACAAATAAATGGTACCATTTACTGAAACATCAACAGTGGATGGGTGTAATTACATGAGTGTCTAGCATAACCTTTGCTTGAGTTGTACTGGAGACTAAAGCACTAAATCACATGGTGACTACTAAACTACTGGTGACACCATGTAGGTTGTTTTTTCCAAGAGATTTAGATTAATTTAACATTTGTACTTCTTTTGGCATAATATAGTATTTCCCAAAATGTGAAATATGGTGTATAATATGCTCTCTCATCCTTTCTTTCTCCCTCTTCTTCTCCTACCTCTTTCTCCTCTTTCTCTTCTCGTCTCTTCTACTCTTCTTTCTCCTCTCTTCTCTCTTCTCCTCTCCTCCCTCTCTCTGAATTAAATTATGTTTATTCACTTTTTGTGACAGGTACTTTGAAATACATGTTGTTGTAGCAAAGGTGAGTCTTGTCAACCTCAAAGCAAAGAAGAGCTGAAATGTGTTCATATTCAAACACGGAGATGAAAAGAAAATAAAATTCATGAGTGTGCTATGTGTATGCATGTGTGTTTGTGTGTATGCACAGGACAAGAGGTTTACATCAAGTATTGCTCTCCACCTTACTTTTTGAGGAAGGACCTTTCACTAAACCTGGATCTCACCAATTTTTCTAACTGGCTCACCAGCAAGACCCAGATATCCTCCTGTCTCTGCCTCCACAGTACTGGGATTCCAAGAATGTACTTTCCCATGTAAGTGCACAGAATCAAACAGAGAATCTCCTGTTTGTGCAGCAAGTACTTTACCAACTGGGCTAACTCTTCATCCCTAGCATTCAATGAGTAAGACTCTGAATCACATGGTTGAGCTTGCTGGCAGTGGGAAGCTTAGACTAAAGCATCAGAGAAAACCTTTTTCGGGAATAAATAGTTGAGTTGAAAATTGATAAACAAGGTGGAGTAGATCTTTCTGAAGATCTTATAAAGGAACCTTTTAGCAAAGGGGGAAGCAGACATGAATATCCAAGATAGGAAAAAAACAAAAAACAAAACAAAACAAACAAACAAAAACCTATATGGTGGGTGCAGAACAAGCCAAACGCCTATGTAGCTAATGTGCAATTGAACAAGAGAAAAGTACCATCAGGTCCTCTCAGAAACACAGCTACTCCTTTGGCCTTGTAGAACTGAAATTTTGAGGAACAAAATGGGTCTTGGGGCAAATGAGTCAAGATGTTGTGGTGGTTTGAAAGTAAATAGCCCCTGAAGGGAGTGGCAATATTAGGAGGTGGCCTTGTTGAAGTGTGTCCCTGTGGAGGTGGGCTTTGAGGTCTCATATATGCTCAAGCCATGCCCACTTCCTGTTGTCGGCAGACCACTTCCTGTTGTCGGCAAGCCAAGATGTAGGACACTCAGCTACTTCTCCAACACCTTGTCCATCTGCCAGCCACCATGTTGTACCATGATTTTAACTGACTAAATTGCTGAAAATGTTAGCCATCCCAATGAAATGTTTTTCTTGTTTAAGAATTCCTGTGGTCCTGCAGTCTCAACCAGCAATAGAAACAATAAGACAGGTGTGTCTGGGCTGAGCAGCTTATACTTGGTTCTCACTGCAGGACTTCTCAAAGCCTTGAAAAGCTGGATGTTTGTTGTAGATTTTTAAGTGGGTCATGCAGATGTCAGGGTTTTCCACCATACATGCCTTTTTCCATAAAAGAGTCCTTAAGACTTTTATTTCAAGGAACAAATTGTCAAACCCAGCCCATCATATGTCTTCAGTTGGTTGGTTTGTCCTTTGTTTTAAAGTGCTGGGGGGTCTACCACTATGAAGCCCATAGGCTAAGAAGTTTTTAAAGGAGTTTAAAAACCAAGAGGACCATTTCACAAAATACAAAAGTGTATGAAACTCCAATCTCCATGTTTTACAACTGAGATGTAGCGATGTGCGTGCATTCACTGTTCTGTGACTGCCTTTCTGCTTTAACCACAGAGGCAAACAGCTCCAACTAAAACCCTCAGTCCACAAAGCCAAAAAGATTCATCACCTGGGCCTGTGGAAACCTTTGCCATCCTCTGCTCTAGAGCACCTCTTCAGTTCCTTTGACTATAAAACCTTCCTAACTATAACCATAATTTACTCTTGTCACAGTCAATATTTATCCACTTCATCATACTTTGGACTTCAGATTTTGCCTCTATGTATTACTCTCATTATATTTTACTATATAATTTTAAATGTTTACATATGTCTTTACCTCTCTAACAATGCTGAATATATGGATAACAGGCAACTCAGGTGATTTTCACACCTAAAATATGATCTGCTCTTTAATCTGTTTGACACTTAAGTTTAGTGTAATATTCAGATCTACATAGAACATAATTCCTGTACTGTTTTTCTTCTAGTTTGTCTAGTGTTGTTCTCAAATGTCTTCTACCTCTCAGCTACTTGCTTCTTCACTGATCCATTTATCTCTCCAGCTTCAATAACAGTGATACCTTTAATTATCAATTAAATGTCACCTAGGGCCAGTCTATTCTTCCCCATTTTGTTGACCTATCTGAGAATCTTTCATGCTCTATGAAATATTCTAAGATTTTAATTAGTATCTCTAAATTAATCTACAGAGCATTTTCACTTATGAAAGCCTTGTCTTTTCCTACCAATAGAAGCTGCACTTCTATTAATTCCAAGTCTACTTGGAAGGAAGCAAGGAAGGAAGGTAGGAAAGGAGGGAGGGAGGAAGGGAGGTCCCAAGATTACACCACAGATACCCAATCACTTTCTTTTATAAGTACATTATATATCTGTTAAAGGTTCAGATAGGTTCAAATACCCAACCAGATGGAACACATTTCCATTGTAAACTCCTCTCGGGAAAGCATCAGTTCTTGGAGACTGCCTGCCCCACCCTGTCAAGTCCTGTCTCCCAGACCAAACATTGCAGGGAAACCCCACCCACCTACCCACCAGCAGCAGCAGCCATTTTATCCTGCTTGGCATTCTCTTCCTCCACCATTTTCTTCAATTTCCTTTTCTTCGTCATCTAACTTAGTGATTTTAGGATGACATTTCTGGAAGCAGATTCTACCACAGATACTCCAAAGGTTAACAGGTTTCTATTTTTCAGTTGCTCCTTCTTGTCTACAGAGCCTAGTAAAGGTTTGGTTCTTCCTTCAGATTCTTGTGACGAATCTCCCAGTTTTGATACTTTCAAAGGTCTACCAGTAAGACCCCACACTTATTAGATAGACTCCAGGAGTGCTGTCTTCTAGAATGTTGAAAAATGTTGAATCATGTTTTTGGGTCTCTAAGGTGAAGCATGTTTGGTGAAACTAAGTTATGAGCTATTTATGGAGACTTGGTAAGTGACAAGCAAATAAACAATATAGTCTACACTATTGCTGCCTTTCCCCACTCCACACCCGCCCCCAGGCCCCAGGCCCCAGACCAGGATTGAAGTGGGTAGAGGACTTTTACAATAAGCAGGGTAGCCAAATGGCAAGCAGACTATCAAGATAAACCTGACCCCTTCCCATGCAAAGAGGCACCAACCAGTAGAAAGCTCCTCCCTGACCTGTTAGATTTTGTAGTTTTAAAAGGGGGAGCTTTAAAAGGGGGGATGGGGATGGTCTGTAAAAGGAAAGAGGGATGCTGGTAGAGTAGTTGTTTGTTTTCCCAGCTCTCACCTGCTAGTCCACACCGACTTGCCAAGATAAACAATGTTAGCAAAACTGTCTTCTTGGCAGCTAGATGCTAAGTCCTACAGCTCTTGTATCCTGAAAAGCATGCTGGTCTCATGACAGTGAGCAAAGAAGCCTAAAGGGAGTGGGGTGAGGGGAATGGATGAAGGTTAGGAAAGGAAAATGTTTGATAAAGCCCATTTACCGCACTGCTAATTTTTGAAAGGCTGCTAACAGCCCCGCCCCTTGCTTTCCAGCTAAATGGAATGCTTCACTTTGCAAACAAGTCTTAGCGGAAGTAGGAGGAGGACTTGAATGAAAAGAGCTTACCTTTTGAAGGTAAATGAACTCTTCTGAGGTACCATTGAACAAATGACTTCACCCTGCTAGGCAAGTCCTCTTAGTGCTCTAAAATCTCCCAATCACCTGAGATTAGCTTGCTTCTTGGAGGGTCAGGCATAATAAAGAGGGAGTCCCATTGGGAAAACATCTTTTGTCTGTCCTTATGAAGGCACACAAAAGGACCTTGTGCAAATCATTCAGGAACTGAACACTGGTGTCTGACCCTAGCCAACTGGAATCTGAAGGTTGACAATGTCAAGGTCACTGAACCTAAGAGCCTACCTGTTTGAGTAAGCTGCAAGTAGGGACATTGCTGCATTTATAGAAATCTGGTTCTCTGCCTCACCACCCTCAAAGCCCAAGAAAAATGAGTTGAAGAAGTGAAGACCAGAACATGAGGGATGCAGGTGAGGTCAGTGACCACTGCCTGAGACAGACTCCTCAGTGTGTGTCTTCCTCTCAGCTAACGGTGAACTTTGTCCACAGAAAGAACACACCATGAAGATCAACTCATGGGGATGCAAATTCTCCAACGAAATTGGCCAACAAAAACATCTGAAGCCAGTATGTCCACTTTTCAGGATCCTTAAGACACAAAAGAACATTCTGTTTATTACCAGATACACAGTGCACAGGCCACACCTTGAGAAGTCAGTCAGAATTTTATTAAGGTTTGGACATGATATGCAGGGCCCTAATAGGATCTAGGGGACACTTTAAGAATGCCAAAGTTTAGACATTTAAATTGTACATATACTCACTATAGAGCAGAGTTTACCCACATTAACACAGGTGTCAATCGCACAGTTGGGGTTCAAAAGAGGTAAAGGTTATATAGCCTTGATCAGAAATTAAGAAAAAATATAAAATAAACACTACACCAAAAATGTGTGAGTATGCAGATGAAAAGGAAACCCAGGAGCCTAAATTATTGGTTTAAGTAAATTTGCTTTCTCACAAAGTTTTTTAAGTATCGTTTTAAGTAAAGGCTAGAAACATAAAGAACAGAAAGAGATAGCTGCATCTGACCAAGTGGATTAAGCAGTGGCACTCTGACTTATTGCATGCTTTGTTCAGTCTGAGCTTTCTGGGAGTGAACACTTCTGGTTTCACAGCCTTCGCTGACACATATAAGGCAGCTTTCAGAAGGAGATACATTTTTCTACTTCTGGATTATAGCTGAATTCAAGGATACCAGGTATAATGTTGATCATAACTGCTGTTAGTCCTTAAAAAGAACATTTAATGATTTTCACATAACCACCAATGTAACACTGAAGTAAATAGGCTTGGAAAGGCTCCCCTCCCTCTTCTACCTCCCCTCCTGCTTCCCCTCCCCTCCACTCCCTTCCACCCCTCACCCCCCCACCCTGTATTTAGGCCCCTGCCTCAGGTCTCTCTACTGAAGCAAACTGCTTAGAAAACCAAGTGACAAGGATTAAAAGATTAAATCAGCATGAAGTTTGAGTTGAATAGGTTGCATGTTCTCTACCGAATGCAGGGTGTCAGTTGCTGCTACCTTAAGGGGAGAGAACTGACTCCAGAAGAAAGCATTAGTAAGGATGGCTTAAACCCTTTAGAAAAGTATGTGTTGGCCAAGGCATCGTTAATAAAACTGGGGGGGGGGGGAACAACACACTAAAGTTATAATAAAATTATGCCCCCAAAATGTTTAAGTACCTTGGCTTAGGAGTTCAAGGGTTTGCTACAGAGTGCTTTTGTTGTTGTAAATGTTTTAGGTAGAAATCAAATTATGCAAAGTGAAGAGAAACCATGGTTTCATCGGAAAATGTGGCGAGACTGGATGAAAACTAGACTTGAGAATCTCATTAGCAACATCTCAGCAAGTTACTGTCTCATCTTGTCTCCCCTTCTTTATGAAACACTTTTTTTTTATATTTTAAAGATCTGAGCAACCTACTACACAGCATTTAGATTGGCAGTCAACATTTCCAAGGGATTTTTTTTTGGGGGGGGGGGAGAGAAAGCAAGGTAACCAGAAACTTCCATGGTGCTTGAAGGTACACAAGGACAGTGCCCATCTTACAGATGGCAAATAGCTGATGGGAAGTTCTTTTTCAGAAATTGGTTAAATATTACAACCTTAAACTTCTGACTTCTCAAGTTTTCTATCTATATGTGTTGAGCTCCTGTGTTGTCATCTTAGAATCATTCAAACATCTTTCCTAAGACCAGGCATTTTGTCTATTGATAAAAGTCACAGTCATAAGCACTTACTGCCACAGATCAGTACATGTTGAATGTATAGGTGAATGGGACCCTCCCACTCAGACCTGGGCTCTTCCTAACCTAGAGTTTGTTTCTAGTTGTACTTTCCTGAATTGGGCTACTTTGTATCATATGGTAACCATCAGTTCTAATTAGGTACTCCAGCAAGTCATCCTGAAGTCCTCTGGGAAGTTCCAATGGTCTTCTAAGGCTGGGTCATTCATGTTGCTTTGGCTTCATTTCTTTTATTCCCGAAAGAGAATGTGTGAGGAGTGTAAGATTTGTGCTGGGTAAGAGGCAGAAGCATCATTGAGAACAAATATTGATTGTTTGCACACCTGGGATTCGGGGTGAGCTTTCTTCTCCTTTCCCAGGCTCACCTTTGGAGAGGAAACCCGGCTGGTACTGTGGCTTCTAGAGGCAGTCAGCTAAAGTGCTGCTATCACGCATGACGGAATTGGCGGGAAAGAAATGGACCCACTCTACTATTACACACCCTAAGCCTTCTTCCCTTCCCTTCTCACCAGCTATATTGAGGAAGAGGAAAGTCAGGCTCTCTGTAAGTTCAGCCAGGACCTGAAGCTCTATATTCCCCCAAGAGTTGGAGGCTAGCTAGCTTCAGCGGCTGGCCTCAAGTCAGATTTGTTCCCAAGGCCATGCAATGTCCAGAGCTCACTCCCCAGTTCCCGCTCTCTGCTCTCACTGAAATCCCTTAAACATCTAGAACCCTTCTCATTCCTCCACATGTTGAGCTTTCTCCCCCTTTTCTGACCCCTAGTCTCTGTGCCTCTGCGCGGCCAAGTGACCCCATTTCACGTTAAATCTACCGAGTAACCGCCCCAAGGACCTGCGTGCGCTAATCAGAACCGCCTGTCCTTGCGAGCTTCACCTAGGCTGCGTCGCGCCGGGTGGATGAGCCACACTCCCGGTGGGCTGGAATTGGGGGACCTGAAACGGCAGTCCCGGGCAGGGGTGGTGCCACCAGGTGCACGCTCGCGCGGGGTGGGGAGGGGCGGGATGGGGCGGGACGGGAAGGACGCCCCCTGGTGTCCTCGCCGCCGCCGCTGCCTGCCTGCCGCGGGAGCAGGCCGGAGGTGGCCGCTGGGGCCGGATCTTGAAGTTCGTCCAAAGCCTGGGGTGACTAGTGGGGTCTGCCAGCTCCGGGGCCGCGCGGGGCCCTCACAGTGTGACGCTGCCCCGCGGCTGGGAGGGGGGGGGGCGGTGGAATGAAGCACAGTCAAGACAGAAAACAAAGTCAGCAGGTCACCTGGCAGGTTCTAAGCGAATTACGCAACAAAAGCCCCCACACAAACGCGCTTTTTTTTTTTTTTTTTTTTTTTCTTAAGCTCCAAGGAAGCCGGTTCCAGTTTAAGGGTGGGCAGGGATCGAGTCAGCAGCTCTTCTAATGTGGTTAAGACTTTACTGAACTCCTCCAGGGCGATTCTCCCTCCCTTTCTTGAAGTAATGGAATCATCTCTCGGGAGAGGGGGGCAGCTATAAAAAGGGAGATGTCAAGCTAGATCCAAACTCTCATAAGGGTCCTGGGCCAAGTCTAAAGCAAACCTAATTCAAGTCCTTCCCCTCCTAGGCCTTCATACTGTGCTTCAAGCAGGAGTCCGAAGGGTTAAATCCGATTATGGCGCCTTGTTTTCCATGCTGACATTTGTGGCACTTGGACTATTTTGTTAACTAGGTATATGCAATTCACAGAATTTCACGGTAAATTCCCCAGACCAAATATTTGGCTGAACAAATAAACAACATTATCCATTCCTGAAAATAAGCCAGTAGAAGGAGTTGGGGGTGGGGGAGTGCTTGCTTGAAAATGACCTGAACTCAACAGCCACCAGGCTAAGACCATTACTGCTGGAGATCTGGGGCTCTCTTTCAAAGACACTGTCTTCTCAGAGAGTTGCTGAAGACCAGGCAAAACACAATGAGGCCTCCCAAAGGAGAACCCATAACGGGCTTCTCTCAAATGCTTGATTCAGGCATTAATGAAAGGGGCAATGGCTAGTGAGGCTGGCGCAATGGGGAAAACTCCTTGGAAGGGGTTAGGGGGAGCATCCTGCTGCCTTGACTCCACCTGTGCTCTCCAGGGAGCTGGGGCTTTGGCAACCACCCCACTTCTATTTATATTGGTTCCCACTAAGCTGCTCCTTTTGCAGAACTGTAGAATTTCAGTAATTAAAAACAAAAATGAGTCCTGCTTTATCCACTGGACTCCCAGAAGCATGTGCAACACTGTGTAAAAGAATGCAGGGATGTGTACCCAGGACACACAGAGAGAGGCTAAGCTGCCCCTGTGCCCCTGTGCTCGACACACTGCCCAGACAGACCTTTATCTTCAGACAGGTGGAGAAATACACTTTCTCTTTCCCTTCCCAGAGAATCAAGACCCCCCCCCCCACAGCCTACCAAAGCAAATGGACACAGAAATGCGCCTGAGCATCCCAGGACTTAATTGTCAGTAATGAGAAAAGACAAGGTATGTTCTTTGTTTCCCTAAACTCCTACAAGCACATCTTTTCAGAAAACTCTTACTGTCCTCAACTTTAGGAGTTCCCCACCTCTAAGCACACTGATGTCTGCCTTCCTCCTCTCCTCCCCCCACCCCTTGTTTTTAAAGACAAGGTCTTGAGTCTTTCTGACCCAGGCTGATGAGAACCTTGCTTTGTAACTGAGCATGACCTTGAACTTCCGATCTTTTAGCATCTACCCCTCAGAGGGCTAAGATTACAGGTTTGTGCAGCACCTCTACCACCACACCCTGCCTCAAACCTAGAATCATACCCTAAGTTTTCTTTATGCTAGACAAGCCCTCTGCCAACCGAGCTACATCTCAGGCTAAGACCATTCTCTTCACTGTGCCACCAAATTAGTCTTTTCTCCTTGAAGAACACCTCTGTTTTGGGTGGTGGAGAAGACAGCAGAGAAACAGCAGGCAAGAGATTCATGACCCAATTGATGCCATGAAATATCACAATTCTGACCCTTCAGTATTTCATTCTATTGCCAAGTCCCCTTCCATAACAGTGTTGGGAATGTGAACCTGACAAAAGCCTTCCTGTGAGGAAGGTAAGACAAAGAGAAAAAGTCACTCAACAATGGATACTCCTACATGTTGTATAAGTGCTCATTAAGTTTTTCTAAAGTAGAGCCCATTATTTGTTTTATTGGCTAAAAACCAGTTCAAAAAAAGAAAATCTTGAATTTGAGACCCGCCTGATCTAGAGTGAGCTCCAGGACAGTCAGGGCTACATAGCAAAACCCTGTCTGGAAGTGGGGGAATGACTAAAAACAAAACCCTGTTTGAAAGGAGACAACAACACTCACATTAATGTGTGTGTGGACTGGATTTGGTTCAAAAATACAAAGATGCTTGCCAGGACTGAAGACACTCTGGGGTGTCATAAAGGCAAAGGTGGGAATGAGTTACCTCATACTGAGCCCTTTTCCACACACTGAGATGTAGCTCTGACACACTCAATAGGTGAGCAAAACCAAGAAGTGCCCGAAGTCCCATGCGAATTTTCATTAGACCTTTCCTCCCACTGTTTCTGCAGGGCACATGCCATCCAGATGGGAGAGGGCACCACATCCTTGTTAACATTAAATAAAAGCCTTAAACAGTTGCCCCTGCCCCCACCATTCATCCACCTCGTTACCACCTGACTTCCGCTCTATCCTCTGCCTTATCCTAACAGAAAAGGATGGAACAGGAAATAAGATAAAAGGCCATAGATTATCTTTAAAATAATGACTCATTTTATTTTCTTTTAATACGTAGTTATAAATATATTTTGTCAAAATATATGATCAATATGGTCAAAACATTTGCACGTAAAGTCATAAATAAGGTCAAGGTGAATGTTTAGGTTTTTTTTCCTTTCTTTTTTTTTTTTAAGATAAAAGTCCAGCTATAAGGAAGCAGTCTGTGTGGTATGTGTGGGTGGTTGGATGGGAAAGTGTGTGTGTGTGTGTGTGTGTGTGTGTGTGTGTGTCCTCAGAGAGGCCTGATCTCAGCGGCATCCACACCCTTCCACTACCATCTCCTGATAATTTTTCAATACCACCTTGTCGTACTCATCCAGGTACAACATGGAGATGGCACTCAGTTCAGTGGGGACACAACAGGCCTTGGGAATACTAGAGTTAACAGAGTTGACCAGGGTCTGCACAATGGCATGGTTGGTTGAGTTGAGGTGGTCCGCTAGTGGAAAGGGACAGTCCCCATGGCAGTAGAAGGCCTGATAGCCTGGTGGGGCCACAATCCAGTCATTCCAGCCCACATCACTGAAGTCCACATAGAGTGAATGGCGACGGCAGTTCTTATTCTTCTTTCTGGACCGCTGTGGGTGATGCTTGGGACTACGCTTGGCCCTCCGGCGGCGGGTCAAGGTATGGCCCCTGCCATCATGGCCAAAAGTGACCAGGAGGGGCCGGAGCTGGGCCCAATCTCCACTCCCTTGAGGTAACGATCGGCTAATCCTGACGTGCTGGCCCTGGTGGGTCCGTGTCTGGTGGAGGTGAGTCACCTCAATGGCTAGCCCATAATTGGGCTGCTTTTCCCGGGTCCAGCGAAGGACCGCAGGGCTCACATCGAATGTTTCCCACCGTGTCACATTGTGGTGGACTAGCCTGGTGTCCAGTAGTCGTGTGATGAGGTGTCCAGGCTCTGTTTCTGCTGGGGGCTTCATAACCTCATAAATGTTTATACGGTGGAAGCCCCGTTCCCAGTCAGGGCCCTGGTCCACCTGCTCCCGAAATAGCCGGAGCTCTGCAGAGGAGATGGCCTCATTCTCTGGGATGCTGCTGAGGTTGAAGAGGAAACGAAAAGCAGAGTTCTCACTGGTCCCTGGGATGTTCTCCAGATGTTCTAAGCACAGTTGAAAAGGGAAAAGAAAAAGCCCATGAACTTTTCTGAGACAGAAAAGCAAAACTGAAAAAGCGGGACTGGGTGAATTCTGCTTCTATAGTGGAAGCCTACGGGGAGGAAATAACTGTGCCTCTTAATGTGAAGTAACAGAGAAATGAGCAGCTAGCAAACCAGCAAAACTTAGCTCACATTTGTCAAGCACCAAAGACAGAAAGTATCTCCCAACCTCCTTTATAAGCCTAATAATTTCCATGTGTCAACTCTTGTGCTCCACCACCCTCGGACTCCGCTTTTAAAACCCCCTCTTGGCTTTGTGTACAGTTTTCTTTACAAGTGGTTGTAAAGAAAAAGAGGGGCCACCCTCTCTCCCTCTCCACTTTCGAGTATGTTACCACGCATTTCCCCAGCGATCCTGGAAATACAGAGCATGCCTTGTTGATCATGTTACAGAAGGGAAAATAAATTCCAACACAGTAATGATGCTGGAGGATTAATAACTCAGATTTACTTTGGAAAAGAAACATCCGCTAGGAAACATTCAGATCGTATTACAAGGCCTCTATTGAATAAACCTGACAAACACACAGCTGTAATATTAAATTCAGTAGGTGCTTTGAACAAAACGGGCAGAAAACCCGGCTTTGATATAGCAAAAGCACGCCGCCAGGGCTAGCCCACGCCTGAGTGGTGTCATTCGCTTCTTCCCAACGCCCCCACCCCCGCCACGGGCTCCAGAAAAGTACCTTCAGAGGCAGCTCTGGAAATTTGGAGGTAAACCGCCCTCAGCCTCCTGGACTTGGAGCTTTGATGTAACCTGAACTATTCTTCCCTGGGGCTTCCACTGCCCCTTCAGCTTGCCCGGCCAGTTGCCCCCCCCCCCCGCACCCCACCCTCAGACCTCCAGGACCAGGAGCACAAACTGACCTTCGTGATGGAAACTCCTCACGGTGTTGGCCCGGCTGGCTGGGCGCTCGGGGTACTCCAGCCCAGTTCCCTGGCTCTGCTCTTCCTCCTCCTCCTCTCCAGACTGGAGCCGGTAAAGATCCCTCATGTAATCCGGGATGACGGCGCTCTTGCCCGGCTGCGGACGGCGGCGCAGCCCAAACATCTGGAGAAGTGTCGCCTCAAAGTCCCGCAGGAGCTCATGGCTCTGCCCTGAGCGGCGTCCTCCCGCGTGGCCCTGAATCTCGGCGACTTTTTTCTTCCCGGTCTCAGGTATCAAACTAGCATGGCTCGCGCCTCCTAGCAGGACTTGGCATAATAAAACGACCATCAGCATTCGGTTACCAGGAATCATGGTGTCTCTGGGGAGGGGGTGGAAGGTTAAAGAATAAATAAACACCGATCAATAGGGAGAAATAGAGATGTCTCTGCATATGAATATAGGGGTAGCAACGGACGGTCAAGATGTAAAATAGGTCCGAAAGATCAAGTTTGTGTTTTCTCCCTCACACTTCCCCCCACACACACACACACACCAGCTGCAGCCATGCACGGCCCGAAAGTAAGAATCGCCCTGTAATTACTTGGTCTAACTTGTTTACACTCAAATAACCCCAAATCAGATAGCCTCCATCCTGTCCCAACTGCTATCTGAGCCATGATCTCAGCGTGGCTTCTTCAAGGATAAACAGTTAACATTGAGGGGGTAAAAGGGGGTGGGGGAGGGAGAATTAAAATGTCACCGCTCTTCTCTTCAGTCCTTAAGCGCCCCCCCTTCCTCCTCCTCCACCACCACCACCACCACCCCCGCCCTTCCTCCGAGCTCCAGCCCAATTTCCACAACTTCCAGCTAGTTAAGAGCAGGAGGGAGGGAGAATAGAGCAGCGCCAACCCGGCTTGGACAGGGCGGCAGGGTTCAGTAATTGAGAAAGGAATCAAGGGGCTGCCCCGGTGACTTCGTGATTTATTTCATTGTGGCCAATACGCTGAAAATGCTCAGTGAAAAAGTTTTGCTCCCAAGAAAAGAGTGGGAGTGATTCCGAAGCGAACACGGGCTCTTTGACATGAGGCAAGGAACTGGCCTTCCCAGGCGAGTGGGACCGGACCGGGAAGGGAGTGGTTAGCCCTCGAGGGACAGCCCCGACCTGCGGATCTTTCATCTCTTTGGTCCCTTTGAGCTCCCCCTTTCTTGCAACGCAGCGGATCTGAGAAGACAGTGGGAGCGCTTGAAAAGGCACCCGCATGCTTTCAGCGTTTGGCCCACAGACACCAAGAAGAGAGCGACAGCGCTGCCTGAGAGCAGAGCGTAGACACTGGAAGGGAAATTCGACGGGGGGCGGGGGACAGACAGCGATCAGGAATGAGAGAACAGAGTGAAATCCCGAGAAGAGGAAAGAAGGTGTCTACTCACTGACAGAAAACAAGGCATATAATAACAGTCCATGATTCTTGGGAGCCAATCTTGAACAAACTTGCTGAAAAGGCTCAGAGAAGCTGCGGCAGTGCGTTGCTCGGAATGGCACTACGGAATGGCTCCTAAAATGAATATTTGAATATAATGAGACTCTGGAGCAGACAGGCTCTGTTTTTCTTCCAGCCCCTAGGAGTCACATGGACCCGGAGGCCCCGCCCCGCTCACCGAGGAGCCCGCCCGCCCCTCCTCCACCCTCCCACCCCGGCTGGGTTCTGCCCCTGCGAGCGAGGCCAACCTCCTCGCCCGCAGCTGGAGCCCCAGCCGTCTGGGAGTTGTCCCCGCCTGCTCTGCAGAGCCCTCGGCGGGACACACGACGCTGGCGCGGTTCTCTGTCGTAGGCGCAGCGCGCAGGGAACCTGGAACACATCTCTACCTGCGATGCTCTGGGCCATCTGGCCAGACCCGGACACTGGCTATCTGAAGCTGGAGGATCGGGGTGCATTGAAGACGCTGCGCTTTGCAGCGCCAATGCAGCTTAAATGCGGCCGGGTGGGGGACCTCAGAGACAGCTTTCCAAAGCCTCACCACAGAAAGTTACTTGAAAAGGAAAGCGCGTAGGGACCTTCCAAGCGCGCGCACACACGCAAACACACTCGCATACTCCGGCACTTCCTCCACAGGGTCTCCGAGAGGCCAAATAATGCTTCTAGCGACAGGCGTCCGACCCCTAGCGGATCTAGCTCCCAGTCAGAAGTCGCTCAACCCGTCGCCAACGCAGCCCGCGGCGGGGGGTGTCAGGGTGTGATCGGTGTGGGAAAGTTAGAAGGAGCGGCTGCTGAAATACTGTCTAGCAGTACCACCAGAGTTCCCGCACGGTGTCGGCTGACCCCAGCGTCTGCTCCAGCCAAGGAGATCCTTCAGAAACCAGTCGGCGGTGCCATTCAAGGCGGAGGGGCGGACGTCTGGGCTCCTAGCTCCAGACAGATTCCAAAACAGGCGTCGCCGAAGAAAGAGCGCATCCCATTTTCAGATCTCGGAGTTCCAAAGGCTTTACAACTCGGACCGGGAGCGGAAAGGGAACCCCAGCGCGATCCCAAGAGTCTACAAAACCAGGAACAGCTTTCCTCCTGCTCTCGACCTCTGCTAACGAGTCCCTCTCTCTCCGGCTTGGCTTACTTTTTAAACCACCACCCCAGCCCCCCCCCCCGCGCGCCACTTCCTTGCCCCCACCCCTTTCCTTCTTTGCACCAGCTACAGAATCGCAGCATAGATTCCACCAAGAAGTTCAGCAACACGCACAGCTCAGGCAATGACTGGTCAGAATATCCTAAGATGCCACATGCGCAGGCCTGTTGGAACCTCAGGAAACGCAACTCCTTTGCTCAGACAGGTCATTGCACCGAGTCCACCTTAGGATCCGAGTCCCAGGATTCCCGCCACAGAGCCGGTTCTGCACGGCCTCTTTACGGAGACCCTTCCCTGTTTCTCTCTTTAGGAACTCGACGTGCCTAGTTGGTTTCCATACTGACACCCCCCCCCCCAACAAACTCGGTTTTTCCGGGTCGGGAAGGCACTTGCGGGAAATCTTTGGAAAAAGAAACGTAAAGGATGGAGTCATGTCCTTCCTGGTGGCTCTGGCTGCCTGGCGCCATCCCACACCCCTGGCCGGGGTGCGGAGGCCGCGGGCGCCCCTGAGCGACAGTCCGCTCTTCTCACCACCAGCCACACAGTTTTGAGACGATCTCTCTGCCCGACCAGCGTTGCTGCTGGGATGAACTGAGAAAGAGCTAGAAGGAGCAAGGAACTTATTGTTTATTTGCTTTTACAGGGAAAGGATATAGAGATATGCTGGTGACTGGCGCACGCGGAGCACGGGGAGAGTGGAAGGGGCGGACGCTGGGGATCCCGGGACAATCCTCTGTCCTTCAGAGTCTCTGATGGTGTCGGGAGCGCTCCCGACGTTAAAACCAAGAAAACAGACGAAGGAACTGTTTCAAGTTCACAAGGATTTCTCTCTAACCACGCTTTCCTCCCCTGATTTTTTAATTAAAAAATTATCAACCAAAGAAAAATTTCATCTCCTGGGTTTGTTCTTGAGGATGGTGCAGCTTGTGTTAGGCAATTAGATTTCACTTTCTTTCCAGTATCTTCTCTAAAATTTACTTGATAGCCTCAGTTTATTGAATATGTCTCCATTGGTGAGTCAACTTCTCACAAAACCTTCAGCTCATAAGCCCAGATACTAGAAAACCATCAATCAAAGCCGTGGCGGGAAACTTTCTTAGTCTCAGGGGCCCAACTCCGTTGGATGTTTGTAGGGACCCCGAAATTCCGGACTTTTGGGGGTTAGTTCAGGACATCGGGAGCCAAGAAGCTCCGCATTAGCCTGCCAGTTCCTTCCCATCACACACAACATGGTAAAAGACCGGCGTAGGTAGCCTTTTGGCATCCGGGCTATGGTACCTAGAATCTTACATATCCCCTCTCCAGTGTGTGGGTGTGGGTGGGTGGGTGTGTGGGTGTGTGTGAGAGAAAGAGACAGAGAGGACAGAAATAGAGAGAGACAGAGAAAGAAGGTGAGAGAGACAGAAGGCAGGATACATGGGTGCCCATGTCTAAGAAAATAGCTCGTGGAAATGGGTTCAAGTTCTGTGGCTTCAGTTTGTCAGTCTCGGGGTGCCCATTTCTGGGGACCAGGTTAGGTGACACTTGCTTGATGAAGTCCCTCTATCCCAGGTTGGTTGGGCTTTGGAGCGAAGCTGGACTACAGTCTCTTTACAGAACTAGCTCTGGCTAGGTTTTCTCTCCCTGTGTCACAGTCCCTCAGTCCCCCTAGTCGTGATGAAACAGAGTTGATTCCCTTCTCTCCCACTCTTTCAGTCCAGGGGGACCAAAACCCCCTTCATTGATCTCTCGTACCAAAACCCTTTCTCCTTCCCGCTTCTCCTGGCCCGCACGTCCCCAAAATGAGTTGCATAGCTGCAGTTACTTATATGGAGGCGCCTTTCAGCCCCATCATGCCCACTGTTGGGAGAAGGGAGGAGAAACAGGCCACCTTTTGCCTCGGTTATAGCCTGAACCCCACCACCAGCTTCGCCCACTACTGACACACCTCGAACCCCTCTCCAGATTGTCCAACTTACCATAGGTTCGTGCAGAAGCGGTCTCACCAGCAGCTGCTCCTGGGAACCTCTAGGCAGCTGCAGTAAGCCTGGGCGAGGGCCAGAGACTGGGTCGCTGCAGACTCCAGATGGTTCGGATGCGAATCCCATCAGGGACAGAAAACAGATACTCAGGCTGGGTAGCGCACAGTCTTTGGCTAGGGTCCTTCGGCTCGGATGCCGAACTCACCTAGCTTCCAGGCCAGGCTTCGTGCTCCTACCTTCCCACCGTCCAGCACCACCCTCTCACGTCTACTCCTTCCTTTTCTTCACCTCCCTCTCTTTCTTCCCTTCCTCCTCAGTCTTCCCCAACGGCCCCTCCCTTCTTCCCTCCTCCCTTAATCGCCTCCCCTTCTGGGGATGGGAGCCCCGCCCACATCCTCCTATCCAGCCACGGGGCCTCGCCTGGCAGGCCTGGGTCAGGAAGCCTACACAGTGCCCCAGTCCTTAGTTGCCACATTGCCTGGGACACCAGAGCCTCCAGCTCTGGAAGCAGCCGGGGCTCACCTGGGGACCATGTGCAAGGTACTAGAAAGCATGCACCAACTAGTCTTTGTACCTTCCAAAAATACCCATGGGAGTCTGGGCTTCCCTGAGTTTAGAGTAACTGCTGCCCAAACTGGTGATTAAAACACTGAGTAATCACCATTTACCCCGAGTAATTAGAGATAATGAAACACCTCTAAAATCAGGTTATGGAGAAGAGCGCTGTGGGATTGGTGTAAAGGGTGGCCTTCCGTAAACTGTTAAAGGATTCCCAAACGTTGAGAAACAGGCTGTGAACAGGGCTGTATGCCCGAAGGAGATACCTCTTCAGCTATTAGGTAGTGACTTTCCTCCCAAAATGTTTCTTAAGGTGCTTCTTGCAAAAAAAAAAAAAAAAAAAAAAAAAAAAAAAAAAAAACACCCTTGGTGCAGACACTCAGAAACACAGCCCCTTTAAACTGGGTGCCTACTGTCACTTCCCCATGCCTCACCTTTCAGAGGACAGAGGTGACTTGCAGGCCTTTGGCAGGCACACAAGTCTAGGCTGTGTTTGACAATTAAAAGTGTGCTTATAACTCTGAAGCCCTCTTAACTGCCACAGTTATTTTTGTTTGATTGTTTAGGGCCTTCCAGGAAGGTGTCACACTGAAGCATTTGCCTCTTAGGCTATGTAGAGACAATAAAAAAGTGTCCTTTGGCTGTTCTTAAAAGAGGGGAGATGGGGAATAGACTCTTTCATAATAATAACAAGTATTTGTAGTCATATTAGCGTGGAAGTGGACTGTGGCAGATCTCAGACCTTTTCAAACAGGAACTAATTTCACAGACTGCCTCTGATGGAGCTGTGAAGGAATGAACTATCAGCTTCATCTCTTCATCTCTGTTTTACAAACGACGACTGGGGAAGGACTGCCAGGTTAACAGCACTTGCCCCAAGGTCTGGAGGAAATCACAGCCTCTGCTCTGGAGTTTTCAGCTAAGGCTGCAGGGTAGGGGTGAGGCCAGCAGCCCTGAGCCCCAGGTAGCTCCTGAAGTGCTAGAAGATGGCAATTTCTGGTTCTTGGTTTCCATTCTCTAAAATGGGTGTTATATTCCTTTCTCACCACAAGATCTTGATCTAGTTCAGCTCATCTGACCTTTGCACTTCCACACCTTCAGAATTTAGAAAACAGGAACCAGTTCCTGTATTCTATGGACCAGAGACAAAGGGTGGGAAGGAATGTCAGGTCTCTGGAACAACTGTTCGGAATACCACACCCACTCTTTCCCTCCCTGACCTGGGGCGAACAGTATGCCCCTGGCCAAGTCCCTTCTTTCCAGTTGGTACCAACTTTCTCATCCAAAGAACAAAAGGATCAAGCCAGATAATCTCCACGATCCCTTTCTGTAGGAGACAATATCACTATTTTATTATAATTTTAGTGAACATCCACCTTCTTTCATTTGAAATCATTTCTAAGTATACCTTCTCTTATAACCTCTGATTAATGAAGGTAGGGCAATAACTCCAGCCAGAAAAGATGACTTAAACATATCTACAGCTTCTAGCACAGCCAAAATTACAATTAATTATTTAAAATAACAACACAAAATTAAAGCTCCATTACATAGTTACTAATGTCTTTCCTGGGGCATCAGGCTCTGGGCTCCCGTAGCAGGTTGAAGGACATATTCATTGTTTACTGAGGCCCCCAATCACCTGTTGCTTCAAATGGCTAACACAATATATTCCTTAATATTTAAACTCACCAACAGCAGCAATTCCCTCCCAGATGTTGTTTGAATGACAACTATTATCTCATTTTGCTGAAACCCAAATGATGAAGTGGTCATTGGCCCACCCACGAGCCTGTGAAACCCGGTCCAGGAGTTTCTAATTAAGCCACTGCACAAACCTTATTGAATCTCTAGGTGTGTGATGGGGAAACTCAGCTGCAATCTCTTGGTACAGCTGTACTTCGTTTGCTCCATTTTAGATGTTGTAAACTACCCATTAGCCAGGTATGGTGGCACACGCCTTTAGTCCCAGAATTTGGGAATCAGCCGCAGGCAGATTTCTAGGAGTTCAAGGTCAGCCTGATCTACCTAGTGAGTTCCAGAACAGCCAAAGCTACACAGAGAAACCCTATCTCAAAACAAAGACACAAACAACAACCGACCCCTCAACATCTTTCATGACCCAATTTCCCTTGTCTCCTACCCACCCAATTTTGCCAAACAACAAATTACTTTTGTTTGGAGGTTTTGTTTGTTTGATTTTTTGTTTTGTTTTTGTTGAAGCAAGGTCTTACCACACTAAATTAATGATCTTCTCTGGCCTCAGCTAGGATTGTAGGTATATACCACCATGCCTGGCCAATGAATACTCCTGTTTTAAAAGTTATTTTACTGATAGTTTCAAAGCTGATAAGTGCCATTAAAAAATAGATACAATGAATGCCATAAATAAATTATATTTTTGGTTGAAGCTTTATAAGCATTATAGTTTGTCCAGAACACCAAATAGGTTTATATCAGTAAAGAGATTTCTTTTTTGTTGGTTGGTTGTTTTTTGAGACAAGGTTCCTCTGTGTAGCTCTGGATCTCCTGGAACTTGATCTGTAGACCAGGATGGCCTCAGATCTACAGAGGTCTGCCTGTCTCTGGCTCCCCAGTGCTGGGATTAAAGAAATGTACCACTATGCCCAACACAGTAGAGAGAATGGCATGGGTCTCCAAACCTTGTCGTTTGATGTCTTTTGAAGCTATAAGGGAATACTTTGAAGGAATCCCCAGTACCACTGCTAACTTTTGTGACCAGCAATAAAATAGACCAAATAAAGCAAAATTAGAAGACATCTTTGAAATAACCTAGACTGAGACAGGCAAGGTATCCAAAGCCTTTAATCCCAGCACTCGGGAGGCAGAGGCAGATGGATCTCTGTGAGTTCAAGGCCAGCCTGGTCTACATAGTGAGTTCCAGAACAGCCAGGACTGTTACACAGAGAAACCTTATCTCAAATGCACCCCACACACATACCCTAGCCCATTGGTTTTCTGGCATGAACATTACCGTATTTTCTCATTTGCTCTCGAGCCCTCACAAAAACCACATCAAATCCCTCTTCTACAGATGAGAATCTGAAACTTATGAGATGTTATAAATTCTCCAAGGTCACAGAGCGTATAAGTGATGGGTCCCAAATCCAGACCAGGTCAATCAGCTTCTTCCTCCAAAGCCTTGAACAGGACCTGCAGGAATGTGGATGCCTGTGGTCACAGCTCCAGTTAAACAAGACTTGTCCCAGCAGGTGCATCCAACCTGCAGCCTGTGGGCTGTGAGCATGCATCCAGGGTGACTATGAATGCAGCCAAACAATAATCATAAACTTGCTTAAAACATTATGAGATTTTTTTCCCCTTGAATTTCCCCCCTTTTCCTACTGTGATTGTGTGACTCTCAAACAAGAACACTGCAGGTGATAAGACCATGACACAGTATTGAAAAATGGACAGATCAGGGATTTTCCAGGCCAAAGCATCAGTTACTGCTCTGTCCTTATAACCATTGGTGATATGAGACCTGCAGGACTCTTCCTGGCTCCAATGCCCTGTGCTGGGATTGTAAGCACAAGTCATCCTGCCTGGCTCACAAGTTCTTAGATGACAGAACAAAATTGAGACTGAGGAAGCTGGAGTCTTTTTCCCTGCATCCCTCCCTGAAAACAGGTTGTGGTCTTGAGAAAGAACTCAAAGTTTCCTCATAAAAATGTAGGGACTAGTAGGTTCTGCACAAGTTTGTCATGCCCCAGGATTCCTGGCAATTAAACCATAATCAAATCACTTATTCTCCAGTGCCTCAGTTCCCTCCTTCAAAGTCTGAGAACAATTTTTATTTCATCATGTTCTTATAAGCACTAAGTAAATTCATAAATAAAATGGTGGGCACAACATGGTTCAGTAAATATTAGCTAGTATTATTCCTTATGATGGTACTGATTAACTGAACAAAGTAGAATATGAAGAGACACTTCAGTATAGAGATTTATTTAAAGTTTCTAAAATGCATTGAAATTTAGTAAAGAATATACGCATGTGTGCAAATATCAGCATGAAACCCATGAATTTATACAATTAATATGACAACAATTATGATTTAAAGGGAGCTGTAGAGAAGCTCTTGTAGGAAGGGATCATATCACACATACTTCGTTCTTTCTAGTGCTACAGATATTATGGGCATTTATCAAATAAAAGCTGTTGTTTGCATGAATAGCATTCACTAAGTTACTACTCATTATGGTATGTCTGTGTAGATTTGTTCCATGCATGTATATTTGCCAAGAAAATTCGTAACTGTCAGTCATGCTCACTCACTGATGTCCAAAACAGCTACTTCTGATTTTCCTGATTTTTAAAACATCTCTTTTAAGAAATGTCTCCCCTCTCTTTTAAAATATAAGATTCTTTTTCCTGTTTTCTGGTCTGAAAAGCTTAAATTTAAGTACTGGAAATTAAATCAAGAGTCTTGCACTCTATCACTAAACTCCATCCCTGGTCCCAAGAAGAATTTAAACTCAGTTGTACCCTTGATTTACTTCAGTCAAATTAAATAATTAGGGCTGGGCATATAACTCAGGAGACTTGTCTGCATATTCTAAGTTCTAAGTTTGCTTCCTACCACCATAAGAAAGAAAAGAAAAAGCAATAGTATTTTAGTCCTATGCTTTAATGTGCTGCGGTCTTCCTGTGTTCTGGAATGTGAT